AAAAAAAAAAAAAAAAAAAAGGCTGATCTCAAACTTGATAAAACCTGGAGTCTGCCCAAATCATGCAGTTCATAGCTTCAAGGTGTTAACAAAGAGCTTTTGGAAGATTTGATGAGTTTGATGGAGTCTGCGACATTTCACAAGCCTTCACAGGTCACCCTCCAAATACCAGCCCTTCCTCCGGCCTTTGGTAGCATCTCAAAAGACTCACTGGTTGGGGTTCGTGTCCTCCTCAACTTGGTGGTGTTGGGAGCTACGCTCCCCAGTTTGGGTTTTTGTTTTTCACTCTGGAGTGATGCCAAGAGGCAGTAAACTTTCTCGGGGATGATTCGGTAAAACAGAAGAGGAAAAATACGCCCTTTCAAAATATATGGAGAACAATGAAAATAAAAAATACAGAACTTTTCCCTACTCAAGAGCTTTGCCTAATTACTAATTCAGGCACAGCAAGCAGAAATTATAATTTTACTCAATTTTTCCTGTCTCATTATTTCACTGTGTACCCTAGTTAATACACGAAAATATATATTAGGCTGTGCTCACACATCTGTCGTCTCGGTAATTTATTATAGGGACTACATGGTCTCTCTTCTTTCTATACTTTCCGACATTCTCCCCGGCTTCCCCTGGGCCCCTACCTGCGATCTCACCTCTTTACAACTTCTCTCTCCCATCTCTCATTGTTCCCTTCTCACCTCCCAGGGAGAGCCAGATTTGGTTTTCAGTGCATAATGGAGAATGGATTATAGCTATTGTGAGCATAACTGTACGCACTTAGAATAAGAACAGCAACCAAGCCAACAGAGAAACCTGAGTAAGTTTTCTTAACCAGAATCGAGAGAATCATAACATTCTTCCTTCACGGAATTACTTCACTTGCGTCTCATCAAACTTTCTCCGGGCATCAGACTAGAAAGGGTTGGGGATTATTTCATTCTCCACTGAAAAGTGTGGCTCTGGGGCAGGAAACGTATCTGTTCGAAAGGAGCATTTGCGGGCAGTGGTTCGGGGGGCTCAGAGCGATGGTGTTTCCCAGTTGTTCCTTGGCAACCAGTGGATAAATTCTCAGGATCTGTAAGTGGGGGACCCAGAGAAAGTGAGTGACTGTATGTGCTGGTCCCACCCCCAGAGGGTCAGACCCAGCAGGTCTTGGCGGGGGGAGGCAGAGAATTCGCATTTCTAACAAGTTCCCTGGTGATGCTGATACTGCTGGGTTTCATTAAAGTTGTAAAATCACAGGGAAAGTTAACTTCTTGAGACTCAGCATGTAAGGAGGTGAATAATGCCAGGGTTAGCCAAACGGGAACCTCTGTCCTTCTTTCCCCTTCTCCCCTGAGCAAGAACTCAGGCAGAGGTGAGGGTCTGTGCACCCCAGCACAGTCCACAGGGCACAGCCTGGGCTTGAAAGTGTCGCCGTTATCTCATCGAACAAATATCTCCTGCCTATTGTGCACAAGATACTGGAAGGCACAACTCTGATGCAGTGCACAAGCCAGCAACATGCCATGCTTCCCTTTCCCCCGGGGAAGACCCGTCAGCCCTGCCTCCTTCCTACGGCCTTTTCTGGGAACCTAGCCCAGACAGCCTCTCAGTTCCCTCAACTGTTACCGCCCCTGTTGAGTTCCACTCACTGGCACTCCATGACACTCACTGGATGAATAAACGGGTGTCACATGAGATAACTGCCAAAGCCAGGGGTTGTGAGTGGACACCCCACACCTCCTTTCCCAGGGCCTTGGGGTGTCTGCGTTCCCAGGATTTCTCTGGGAAAGAGAACGGCGGTCCTACATGTCTAGTACATAAACCTTCTGCTCACGAACTGAGGAAGCCTTGGCTGGGAGTTCAACTCCAAAAATACCCTGGCAGAGTCCTGGGCTGTCCCTCCCCCTCACAACCACGTCTAGAGGTCTCATGGAGCCCAGGGTATTGCAGACAGACCCTCCAGGAACCTCCCAGAGCCTTCTGGAACCTCTCAGCTCCTTCCCTTCCACACTTTGAGCCACTCCCAGCTCATCAGTCCCTCTGGGGCAGTCAGAGGGACTGCATTAGTTTCGTAGGTTTCAGGCTGTCGTAGGAAGGCACTCCCATGTCACCTGCCACGGAAGCCCTTGGCCAGCAGTAAGAGTACCCTCTTTGCCTCCCTTTCTGTTTTTCACCAGGATGCAGAGCACCGTTCCGCCATGAGCCGGCACGCTCAGCGGCCAGCTCTCTGGTGTAACTCCCGCGAAGTCGGCCTGGCCGTTCGCTCACCAGCACTGGCAGCGGACAAGCTAACTGACCGCAGCTTGTGGAGGAGGGGGCCCGGGACACGGCCCCTCCCCAGCACCCATCCCATACCACACCTACTTCTTCGGAAGTGGTCCCAGCGCTTGCCCGGGCACAGGGCAAGGACGCATCAATCCGACATGCGGGTGTAGCCTAGTTGGGGGGAAGCGGGAGGGGATTATCTTCTCGTGAAACACCGAGTCCCTCCTGCCATTGCTTCTCCAGCACCTTTAATTCCATGAATGCCTGCATTGCCCAGAGCGGGAAACGGACTTCACCTGCTGCAACAGAGCAGCACAGAGCCAGATGCTTCCCCCGGCAGGATTTTCCCTCATAGGAGCTGCCAAAACTCCACCTGTCCCTCTAGAAGCCCTGCCCATGGAAGGAAGACTAGCTAGGACCTCTCCAGGAAGAAAGGACCAGAAAATGTCTGCCGTCATCTCAGAGCATGGGCAGGCAGAAAGCAGCAGCCCCAACTGGCTGTTGTACCAAAGCTCCCAAAAGCCACCTTTCCTTGTCATCCTCGGTGGCTCCTGCTCTCCTGAAGACTGTTTTCTGACTCAGCGAGAGCTCGCTTTCAAATTAGTCTACAATGTGGCGAAGCTGCTTTGGAGAAGCCAGAACAGCCATTAGGAAGGACGCACCTTCCCCTGCCGGGCCCTCCGCCCCCTACCAGGCGCCTTTCCTTCTAGTTCCCGTTGCTGGAGGACGGAGGTGCAAGGTGCACGCGTTGTTAAAATTCTCTCATTAACACCCCAAAAGGAGGTGGCGTGGCAGGTCTGGGTTGTCCAGGCTAGAAGGTTCCAGAAGCTTCCAGGGGTCCCCCGTGACTTCCAAAACCTCCCCTAGACTGTCGGTCCTCCA